CCCTTAGTGCCCTCCCCTCTCTTTTGATTTTGGCTACATCAGCCAACTCTTGATTTTTAATCTTCTCCACTGTTACAGAATATTCACGCTTGAGTGTCAAACTGTATCAAAATATCTAATCTCAGCAACCCAAAGAAAGATAAAAGCAACTTCCAAAAATACGAAAGTCAAGGGAATAGAAAAGAGATGGAAGTAGTAACCAACTTGGACTTGCTTACCGCATGCTCAACATAGAAGCAGGTTCCTTCTCCTGCTGGACTGCCGCTTTATCGAGTCGGCGCCACTATCTTGTGTATATATATATATATATATATAGACGTCTCGACATTGAACCTTTCCCTATTTTATCAATTTCAATTCAGAAAAAATCCACATTCTCCGTGATTTATTGGTGGCCACTTCAGTGGTGGCCACTTCAGCTCAACAAGATTGCTCGTGGATTGTATCTTTGATCAATGATTAATTCTTATCAAAAGTAAAATATTAATCTAATTTACTTCTAATCTCTAATCATTACCTCTTTCAAAAAACTAAAAAATTCAGAAAAAATCCAGACCCCTCTTAGTTGGCGACATCACCTAACTCTTGATTTTTAATCTTCTCAACAAAACAGGTACTGCTTTTTTCCATAAATAAGTAAATATATGGGACATGATCTTCACCAAGATTTTTTGATTTTCTCTCGCTGTCCGCAAGCTGTCAAACTGTTTTGTATTTTGGATATTATGGGGTTTGAATTCCCCAGACCTTAGTCGGATGTTTTTTCCTGAGTTTATTAATACATCTCCTCTTATTACCAAAAAAAAAAAAAAAGAAGAAGTAAATATATATTATGTGTGATTTTTCAAATAAAAATAGTCAAATGGAACCCTAGTCTCTAGAGGAAGCTTGATTTTTTTATATAGGAAAATCATTAAGATATTTACAGAATAATAGGGAAGGTAAAAATTGACAATGATGGTGATCCCTAGTATTTTTATCCCAGAAAACTGGTCCTTCACTTTCTACGAAGGACTCAATAGACAAACAGACTCCATCTTTCAGGACA